GGTGACCTCACATTTTAAAATTTGTCTGACCCTCTGACAGCATCTCCATAGGGATAATGATACTTTATTTTGTAAAGCACTATGATATCTGCAAAGCTGTATAAGAGCTAAATGTTGTTATTAGAGATGGGAAAAGGCCTATTAGATCATCTGTCCATCTCTGGTACAACAGAAGATGACAGTGATTTGCTGCTATGATTTGACAGTGACGTTTTTACAAATGTCCTTTCCTCTAAACTCTCCAAGTTTCAGTGCTGAGGATTCAATGAGCTGGATGGCTTACCAGTTTTGTTAATTGCCAGCTTCTATGAAGGTTGCTGAAGGTACTCCTGCTTTCAACTTTTATTTTTCAAAGATGCAGGAAAGAATAATCTATGTGAATAGCATACATGTCAGATTTCACAGAACTGTCCTTCCATTTCCCAGCTGCAGTTTGCCTGCATCTCCTGCGCCTGCAAGGCAGTACTGTGGCACCTCTCCTGCTCAGGGCTGTGCCTCGCATATGAGGGAAGCTGTTGTACTGCTCTGCTGTCTGTCTGGTGTCTCCAGCAGATTCCCACCACACAGGCCATGCACAAAGGGTGCCCATCACAGCCCACTGCGACATGAGCATACCTGTATCAGGTAACCAATTCACACTGGATGCTGCATCATATAATGCACGGCACTTACGTATGTGCTGGCACTTCTAAGGGGTCTGCAGAAGTCTTTGCTGTGGATACTGCCAGGCTGAAGGTCCTTCTCCCCATGGAAGAAGGTCCTGCTTCTCCACTGCTTTCAAAGGAGAGCCCTTTCTGCTCCTCTTTGTATTTCCACACTCCCCCAAATTTCTTGGAATGTGTGCTACAACAGGTTTTGAATTTAAGTGCCAATATAACAAAGTGTCTGGAGAGAAATCAGTTGAAGTATGCAGGAGATGACTCTCAGTATGATTCATACTGCTGTGTGCAAAGGAAAGGTCTGCCTGGCCTTCTGTACTGGAGTGATAACAGATATTGGATGCACTGTGTACTCAGATAAAGTTAATGGCAGTGACATCTGGTAGATGACACAGAGGAGCAAACTCCTATCATCTGCTTTTTTACACCCTGTGCCCAAACCATTATATGTCAGACTTGGTAAAAGGGAATAATCTTTCAGTATCTACCACTCTTCCCTCCCACGCTCTCAGTCATATGAGACTGAAGGACTATTAAATAAATCGCCACCATATATTCACGAAGGTAGTGGAGGTAAAAGCAGCTAGGGAGAAAGAATTCAAGTAGGTAGCTCATTAATAGTGGTCTCCCCAATACTTAGTAGTCATTCTGCAGACCAGCATATTCCCAAAGCACTCCACAGTCTTAACAAAAGCTTATGTAGTCTTTTACCTTCCAGGTGCCTAACCAATAAATACATTAATAAGACTTTCCCAGAAGAGGATGGAATGTCACAGAGATGCCATTCAAATGGCTGGGCCATGACAGGTAGGTAAGCCGCAAATATTTCATTAAACCTTCATCCTCTGCCATGAATTTCAAGCCCATTTAGAAGAAAGGATGGAAAGTACAGTGGAGCTTTATGAGCCAAAAGAAGAATAACTGCTTGTAAAACTATTTCCTCCTCTATGATTATAGTGTTCATTAAATTGTATGTTCTGTGATGTGCAACAACTGAATTCTACATAAAGTGAAATAAAAATAAGATTTTTATGCTCTACTGAGGCCACCTGACATGACTATTTCAAAGTGATTGGTCACGTTTGCCACTGATCTGCTTTGGCATCTGCTTTGTTTTGGGGTCATAAGTAAAACATTAAGGATAGTTTGGTACACTTAATTGTCAACATATTTAGAATTCTAATTAGTGGCAGGTTGTTAGGAACTGACAAATCTACCTAAATCCTGTAAGGGCAAAAACAAAACAAAACATGCCATTCTTCAAATGATGTAAGCTATATACAGATGTGCTTTCAGGAACAAATTCACATTTTGCAATTATAAAATGTAGACTATTGTATAAAGATTTTTTGTGTTAATAAAACTTAACTACATTTGTCATACAATTCTGGATGAAATTTTTAATTTGGGTTTTAATTTGAATTTTAGCATGTTTTCATAAAATTAGTGAGCCAGGCTGCCATACCATGCTTATAATCACTAACAAGATATAAGGATGCTAACACATCTTGCCTAGGTAAATCAAGTTAGCCTTTGTACTTGCAGTAGTGTATTTGTTAATATTGAAGCTAGGGTACCGCTTGGTGTGCATACTTGCAAGCCAAAGCCCATAGTAGTAATTCTAAATTACAAAAAAAGTCTTGAAGTTACACATATATGCAGTATACATAAGATAAAACATTTCCATTATCCTATTGCAATATCCCCAGTGTTCTCCAACTCCTCACTGCCTAATAATTACAAGATGCCAGATGGATCAAATTTTGAGCTAAAGTAAAGTTGTATTACCCTAACGTTTTGGACATTTCCTAGTAGCTAACAGTGTTATGAAGTGATAGCTTATAGAATGCTTCAGACAAGCTGTAAAAGCATCAGCCTTAATCATTGCAGGAGAACAAAAAACACTAAGTATCAGTGGTCTTGCTGGTCTTGCTATAGGCTCTCCATTTAACTTTGGGTTTTGGTGTCTGTTTTTTGTGTCTGCTGCAGGTTCTGCAATGCCTGCTATATTAGCTGATAACAGATTTATGGAGATACGATCTCTCCTGCCCCTCTCTGTCCCTTGCTTACTATGGCATACATATTATCTACGAGAATTTGTCTGGTGTCTCTGCTGCTGAGCAAAGAAGCTGGCAGGCTGAAGACAGTGAGATACTTGGCAGTAGTCAAATATGGTATTTGCATAAACAAATGACAAGTACATGTAAAAATACACATCTGTCAGTTCACTTGGGCTCTGAAAGCACAAATAAGGCTCATCTTAGATTTATTGCCTACTGCAAATTGTTCTAATTTCTTGAAATACTCTTCCAATTTCCAAATATTGTAAGAATTGTTTCTTTTAACTACCTTCTTTTATTTTAGCACAAAGTTCCTTTCAAGTTAGAATGCATTTCTGCTTCTTCTACCTTACAATATTTCAGCACTAGAAGCAGCTCACACTGTCACTTTAATGTTGTTTTGTATTAGCAGGGTATGACTTCATGAAGGAACCAAGGGACTGAGTCAGGTCTCACTGTGAACATGAGATACAAGAGACAATGTTTTGTGCCACAATGTAAATGAAAGCCCGCTCTAATCTATACCATATTATCAGTCACTTACGTATGGAAATATTATTTTTTATGTTTTAAAAGATTAAATCTAAACTAAAAAGGTAGAGGTTAAATTCTTTTTGTGTGCTATTTGGCTATATTTTATGCTTTTTGCAACGGAAAAGCATGAGACACATTGATATCACACACAGTAGTGGAATAAAAGTCCAGGCTATAGAATTCAGATCTAACACTACTTAATAAAGTTTGGAAGGATCGATACACTCTGATTTCACGTTTCTAGCTCTCCAGTATGGTGGGACTTTAAAGGAATAAGGCCCTTGAACTGCCAACTTTTTTGCATTTTCATCTTTAGCCCTAAGAATAGAAGAAAAATACATTGTATAGCATGGTTACCAATGTCACAGGCAATTTGCAAATAATGTCCAATGAAAAAAAATGCCATGCAGAATAGCCTCAGTGTAGCAGTGAGTTTCAAATTAACAAGAAGTAGAAGAAATAGGTCTGAAAATACAGTCTTCAAAAACTAACATTAAAAAAGGCAAGACTATGAAATCTGCCATCTTTTAAAATCTGAGAAGGCAGCATGGAACTGTTGAAAATTAAAAGGGGGAATGGAAAAAAAATTATTTGCTGAATTGTTCTCAACTTGTAGTCTGAATCCAACATTCAGGTTTTCATCACCTGTATTAGGGAAAG